TGACACCAACCATCCCTCCCATAGTACTCTCTGATTCACATCTTGGTCCGAGAATCCATTGCCATGGTCACACAGAACTCATAACAATATTTACGATTTGGAGTTTAGTATGGAAGCAAACAGGGTACAATTCAAGATCAAAATCAACTCAGGATACATCAGTTTTCCAGTAAGGAATGCTTCGTCTCTGCCTTACCACAGACATGCCCCACTCTGTGGCCACTTGGCCTCTGCCCTGCTCAGGCAAATATTACAATGTTCTTTTCGGCAATCTTTGATTGCCCAAAGGGCACATTCTGCAAGCCAGTCTTTACTCCACTCAACTTTACTCAATCCATGGGCCTATGACCCGAAGCTGCTCTGTCTCTCCATGCCACTCCCTCTGCCGTTGCTGCTGGTGGGAATTAAGGAAACATTGGATAGAAAAGCCATATCAACTAAATCCAAGGTACCAAATGGTCAACTTGACTTTGAGGAGGCAGCTCTTCCCCAGTCATATTTTGAATGCCTTCCTTGCAACACTCTCTGGTAATGTTCCATTGCTATTCATAAGGTTTTCAGTGGCCAAACATTCAGAAGTATCACCTCTCCTTCTTCCTAGTCTGTCTTAGTTGGGAAGCTCAGCTGGAACATGTTCACCATGGGTGACCCTGCTGATTCCAGCATCACAGCATCATGTCAGAGCAACATGTCAATATGACAAACTGTCAGAGGGGTGGTGGGATTGCTTCTTTAGCAGATGAATATTAAAAGATTTGTCTTTAAGCTGACCAATATGGCCTTTCAGTGATTCAATTCTGGTTCTCTGCTCCTTTCATGTATTATCTATTTCTAAAATCTTCATATTAGTCTTCTGGATTTTGATTTGTTGCTTTTGTATGGTTTCTAGTTTTTTGTTTATTTAGTCAGAATGAGTTTGGGACATTTTTTTTTTTTTTAATCATTTAGTATATATGCACTCATAAGACTTTTCCCTTCTGGGCCTGAAACCCAACACCCAGTGAAGTCTCCTATCCCTACATCAGTTACAAGTGTTGGGTCAACAGCAGTCTCTTCATTATTGAGTATTTTCAGTGGGCAGCCCTTTTCTCCGTGTTAGACCCAATGGAGAGGTTTCTAGCCAAACTGGTCATAGTCCTTCGACTTATTTTTGCCAGTGTCTTTTTGTTGTTAAATGCTATAGAATTGGTTCCTACTCATGTTGTTGTTGTTAAGGTCGGTCAAGTCGATTCTGACTCAGCGACACTGTATAGGGTTTCTGAGGAACAGCTGATGAGCTTGAACCACTGACCTTGTGGTTCAAACCAACCATTATTTAAAATAGTTTATGACTTGGGAAAAAACTCAGTTTAAGGTTTCTTTATGTATAAAGACTACATAAGGCTATTGAGGTGTGGCCAGGAGGCACTATCCCCAAGGTTCACAGGTTTCTATTTTGGTTCCTGGGAAGGCAAAACACAGAGTCTTCATCTATGGTGTTGTTTTGTTTTGTTTTTCAGGAAAAGGCAATCTTTTCAAGTATTCCTCCCAGTCAAGGAAGCCCTAGACTTATATCTGAACTGGAAAATGTTATCATTCTTTGTAATCACCTACTCCTTGATCTCCCAGGTAATCAGGATGAGGAAACCATTTAAGACACACTGGAAGACCGTAGAAGAATTGATGCTTTTGAGATATGGCGTTGGAGGCCAGGATGGCCAAACTTTGTCTCTCATACTTCAGACATATTGTCAGGAGGGGCCAGTCGCTGGAGAAGGGTATCATGTTTGGCAAGGTGAAGGGTCAGAGAAAACGAGGAAGACTCCCAGCGAGATGGATTAGCAAAGTGGCATTATTAATAGGTTTAAGTGTGACAACAATAGTGAGGTTGGTCTAGGATCGGGCAGTGTTTCGTTATGCTGTGCATAAGGTTCCTATGAGTCGGTACCAACTCGATGGCACCTAACAACAACAAAAATAGGTAGTGTAGTGGTTACAAATTGGGCTGTGAATCTCAAGGTCAGCAGTTTCAAACTACCAGCTGTTTCATGGGAGAAAGATGAGATTTTTTGCTCCCACAAAGATTTACAGCCTCAGTAATCCTGTCCAGGGTCACTATGAGTTGGAACCAACTACATGGCATATCACCACCATCACCACTACCAAACAGGTAGTGTCATAGGAGAGAGACTATTTGTTTTTCGCTCTCCTATGACAATGAGGCCCTTCCTAATCTGTTCTTGTTTACGTATAGGGAAAGGATACAATCTTGGCACACATCTTTTCTGATTTTAAACCATTCAGTATCCCCCTTGCTCTGTTCTAACAACTGCCTCTTGGTTTGTATATAGGTTCCTCATGAGCACAATTAGATGTTCTGGAATACCCATTCGTCTCAGTATTATCCATCAATTGCTATGATCTACACAGTCGAATGTTTTTGCATAGTCAATAAAGCACAAGTAAACACATCTTTCTGATAGTCTCTGCTTTCAACCAAGATCCATCTGAAATGAGCAATGATAAACCTCATTTCAAGTCCTCTTTTGAATCCAGATTGAATTTCTGGCAGCTCCCTGTATCAACAGGGATTGACGAACTGCTGAAAACCTTTTAAAATTATTAGCAAAATTTTACTTGCTTTTGGTATTAATTACATTGTTCGATGATTTCCACAGTTTTGGAGGTCACCTGTCTTTGGTATGGGCACAAATACAGATCTCTTCCAATCAGTTGGCTAAATAGATATCTTCCAAATTTCTTGGCATAGATAGGCAAGTGCCCACCGTGCTTCGTCAGTTTGTTAAAAGAGTTCAATTTGTCTTCCATTAATTCTGGAGCCTTGTTTTTTGCCAGTGGCTTCAGTGCAGCTTGTATGTCTTCCTTTAATACCATCTGCTCTAGATCTTATGCTGTTGAAATGACTGAGCATCAACCATTTCTTTCTGGTACAGTGACTCTGTGTATTCTTTCCATCTTCTTTTTATACTTCTTGTATCATTCAATATTTATCACATTGTTATTGCTCCACTCATTGTTGTTAAGTTGTTTCAGACTCACAGTGATCCTGTATAGGGATTCCAAGGAGCGACTAGTGAATTTGAACTGTGGGTTAATGCGCCAGACTCCAAAGCCGTTTGAACTGCAAGGTCGGTGGTTCAAGCTCACCAGCTGCTTCTCAGAAACCCTATACAGGGTCGCTATGGGTCAGAACCAACTCGACAGCACTTCACAACAATAGAATCCTTCAATATTGCAACCCAAGGCAACCTATGACACCTAATAACAACAGTGACAAGGGGAAATCATACATATTTTAGCATTGCCTGGGTATTCATTTAATAGATCATCTTGATAGGTTTAAAAAGTAGTAGTCTTATCTATGGAGTATTGGTACGGCACTGTGGGTTGTTGTTGTTAAGTGCCGTCGAGTTGGTTTTGACCCACAGTGGCCCTGTATAGGGTTTTTGAGGAGCGGCAGGTGAGTCTGAACTACTGACCTTACAGTATTAACCCACGCAACACCAGGCCCAAGACTAGCACAGTGGTTAAGCCCTCAGCTGCTAATGGGAAAGGTGGTGGTTGGAACTCACCAGTCTCTTTTGAGGTACAAAAGACTTCCCCCCCATCTGCTCCCGTAAAGATTACAGTCTAGGAAACCCTTCAGGGCAGTTGTTCTCAGTTCCATGTTGTTGCTGTTAGATGCCATTGAGTCGGTACCGGCTCAAAGCAACCCTATGCACAACAGACCGAAACACTGCCAGGTCCTGGACCAATATCACAATTGTTGCCACGCTTGAGTCCACTGAAGCTGCCACTTTGCCCATCCATCTTGTTGGGGGTCTTCTTCTTTTTCTCTGACCCTCTACCTTACCAAACATAATATCCTTCTCCAGCGACTGGTCCCTCCTGACAATATGTCTGAAGTATGAGAGATGAAGTTTGGCCATCCTGGCCTCCAAGGAGCACTCTGGCTGCACTTCTTCCAACACAGATCTGTTGGTTCTTTTGGCAGGACATGGCACTTTCAACATTCTCCTCCAACACCTTAACTCAGAAACATCAATTCTTCTATGGTCTTCCTTATTCACTGTCCAGCTTTCACATAGGGTGGCTATAAGTCAGAACCAACTGGATGGCAATGGCTGCATTAGCAGGATCATGGGGAGAGCCAAGTGGAGACTAGTCTAACAACTGTCCCATCTGCCGAACAGTAACTAAAATATCCTTGGACTTGAATGGTTTGTGCACTATACACTTATCATGCATACTGAGAAAGGTGTATCACAAAATTGGGTAAATGATAACATTTCCTCTAGTGGTGAAGGCAGATTCCTAAAAGATAAATTTCACAATTTAACCTTGTGATGGTGGCAGAGTGCTATAGAGTGTCTGCAGAGACGGCTTATTCAGACTTACTCCGGAAACAGGCTGGGTATGATAATGTTTTAGTCTACTCTCTCTGGTCTATTTTTACTGATTTAGAATATATACCTCGAGTTGTTGTTAGGTGCTATCACGTCGGTACCGACTCATAGCGACCCTATGCACAACATAACAAAACACTGCCAGATCCTGGACCAACCTCCCCCTTATTACTCAGAACTCTGGGGCTCAGCAGCCTTTGACAGCGTCGATACTCTCATCCCCTACCCTGAGATGCTTAAACCACGCCCTACGGTTCTGGCGCTAAGTTTGAGCCAATAAAGTTGAGCTTTAGGCATCACAGGTTGAGGGAAAGGAACCGACAAACCAATGATAGGCCAGTTATAACTGCAAAGGGGGAAAACAGTCTTTTTGCAGGTTCTTCGTACCAATGAGGAGCAGACTACTGGGCGCGTAACAAAGCTCACGCAGCTTCCCGAAACACATTAAGAGTAAGCAGTAGCTGCCTAACCCCACCTTCTGGTCTGGAGGTAGCGCGATGGCCAGTGCTTCCAATAGCTCGCAGAATCTCTAATCACGTGAAATATTTGCTGGCGCAGCAGCAGCCGACAGATCACGTGACAGTGACGTTAGCCCGTCACTACCCAATGAAAGAATAGAACTGCCTTCATAGACCCTGGAATTGGCTTATCCCTTCTAATAACAGCATGGAGGGGGCGGGGGATAGCCTATCACGTGCTGCGGGACGGAACGGGGCGGGGTAAGCCACTGGTTGCGGGATGCGCTGGGCGCGCGGCGCGCAGGCGCCCTGGGGACCCGGTAGCGGTGGCGGTGGTGGCTGCGGTGAAGGCAGTGACTCCATCTCTGGCCGGAGTGGGAGACGGCGGTGGCGGCTATGGCGGCAGATGGAGAGCGTTCCCCACTGCTCTCTGAGCCTATCGACGGTGGCGCCGGCGGCAACGGCTTAGTGGGGCCGGGTGGGAGTGGGGCTGGGCCTGGGGGAGGCCTGACCCCCTCCGCACCACCGTATGGAGCCGGTAAACATGCCCCGCCCCAGGGTAAGCCGGGGCGGGTCTAAGTTGTTCCCGGGGGTGCGCTTATAGACGAGTAGTGGGCGGGGCCGAGGGTGGAGGCGGGACCCAAGCTGCAGGTGCTAAGCTACTGCACCTGTGATCGGGTGGGACTTCCCTGTTTCCGAAATCGCCAGCTGAGCCCAGGATCTGCAGGGGGTTGTTACAGGAAAGCTTTGAACGTGATAAGCACGCTATCTTGGTTTAAAAGATTGAGGACTAAAAGGAGCATGATACCAGCCCTACTTTCAATATGCTTCCTCTTCAGCATTTCCCCCATTCCCGGATGGACACCCAGCTGTGTTACCTGGGGAAGACCCACCCCCGTACTCACCCTTGGCCAGCCCGGATAGTGGGAGTGCCCCCATGATCACCTGCCGAGTCTGCCAGTCTCTCATCAATGTGGAAGGCAAGATGCATCAGCATGTAGTCAAATGTGGCGTCTGCAATGAAGCCACTGTGAGTTCTACATATCTTCAGAATGGGCCCTGTTTCCACATCCTCTTTTTGATCCTTTGATTCTAAACCCTAACTTTTAGGCATTCCCACTTGCTCTTCATGAAACCCAGGTTTCTGTTCTAGAATCTCACGCACTATTTTCTCACCAAAGCTAACGTTTACCATTGCTTAGGTTGATATCTAATGGGGGATACAAACCTACTTCTTGTTTGCAAATCTCATGATACATACCACACTTTCACTTTTCCTTCCTGATTTTGGGCTTTATGTCTCTCAGTTCTCCTCAGAAAGTATTTTGGGAGTTGAAATAGAAATGTGCTCGCTGACATTCCCTTTCTTTTCTAGCCTATCAAGAATGCACCCCCAGGGAAAAAGTATGTTCGATGCCCCTGTAACTGTCTCCTTATTTGCAAAGTGACGTCCCAACGGATTGCCTGTCCTCGGCCTTATTGGTAAGAGGCATCAGGTGATGGAGAGGGTCATAAGCAGGAGAAACTGGAAAGTTAAAGGTGGAGGAATGTTTATACAGAATGTAAGTGTGTGAGAACCTGGTGTTTATTATGGAGAAAAGGTTAAGGACTGTTGTGCCTTCAAATATAGTCGTCTTATTTCATCTCATAATAAAAGGGTTGATAGGAAATGACATCTTTTATGAGCATAGAAAACATGGAGCAGAAAGCGAGAAGGAGGGACAGTGAGGAGATCATTAGGATTCAAAATGTTTAAATGTAGTCTTTTCTCCCGTATAGCAAAAGAATCATCAACCTGGGTCCCGTGCATCCAGGACCACTGAGTCCAGAACCACAACCTGTCGGTGTCAGGGTTATCTGTGGACATTGCAAGAATACTTTCCTGGTGAGGAGGGCGCATTGGGAAGCCTGGGGGGAAACAAGGAATAATTATATGAGGATGAGTCAAAAAGTATTGCTGCTGGGCTTCCAGTTCATATGTGCACAGGTTTATTCCACATAAAGTATTTTAACACGTCTCTGCAATCAGTGGACAGCTACAGACAAGTTCTCACAGTAACACACTTGTCTCAGTCTTGTTAGGGTACCTTCAATAGAAAGGTCCAGTCAAAACAGTGTTTTCCAAGGGGATCTGCTAGGGCAGTTCAAGTCAAGGCAGAGAAGTCAGTTCAGAGATTATAACAACTGTTTTTTGGATTTCCAAAGGCATAATCCTGATAGATTTTGGCATAGGGCAAAGGAAGGAAAAGTCCAGAAAATTTGTACCAGTGAGTTTTTTTCATCATGATATATGTACCTGCTCGTTTTTGGAAGTAGCAAGGGCTGTCCTGTGAGCATTTTGTTGGGAAACCTCACTCCACCCACCCTACAGCCCCATCAGACTTCTTTTGTTCCTTAAATTCAGCATTTAAAATGAACACGATTTAAGTTCCTGGATGCCAAAACTACTGTTTTAATGTGGTGATCATTGCAGGAGCTGCAAAATTCTTCAGAGAAGGAATGCTATTGTTAAGTGCCATCAAGTTGGTTCTGACCCATAGCTACCGTGTATAGGGTTTCCAAGGTGCAGCTGGTGAGCTTGAACTGCTGACCTTGTGGTTCAAAGCCACTTTGCAGTCTAGTGCATTAACCCACAGTGGAAATAGCACCTTAAGAACTATATAAACCTAGATGGAGGATATGTCAAGAAACAATAGCCTCACATTTGGATATTTTTATTTAAGAAAGGTTTCTGTGATTTCACAGCAATGCTTTTTTGACTTATCTTTGTATTTCTTTGAGTAGTCATATGAATCCTGAAAAGGTATATTTTTCACCTTCTCCCTACCCCAGGGTTCTTTTCTCACTAAGGATGTTCCTGCTTCTACCATTAATTGACTTCCTTTTTATGTCTCCATAGTGGACAGAGTTCACAGACCGGACTTTGGCACGTTGCCCACACTGCAGAAAAGTGTAAGTGATTACACTTAAAAGTGGCATCATTGAGTAATCCAGTAATGTTTGGAGTCATAACGACTCCATACATCATAAGCATCCATTCCTGTTTGCTTCCCCACAGGTCATCTATTGGGCGCAGATATCCAAGAAAGAGATGTGTCTGCTGCTTCTTGCTTGGCTTGCTTTTGGCAGTCACTGCCACTGGCCTTGCTGTGAGTAATCTTGGCTTGACCCCTTTTAACCATCTTTCTCAGCCTTATCTCCATAGGCTAGGACGCTAGGGAAATGCCTATCCTAGTTGTTGTTGTTGTTATGTGCTGTGGAGTCGGTTCCGACCCATAGCGACCCTGTGCAGGGTTTCCGAGGCCGTAAATCTTTACGGGAGCAGAACGCCTCATCTTTCTCCCGCGGAACAACTGGTAGTTTCGAACTGCTGACCTTGAGGCTCGCAGCCCGATTCGTAACCACTACGCTACCAGAGCTCCTTTCCTAGAGAAAGGTGAAAAAACTGAGGACTGTTTATTTGAATACATTTTCTTGTTAAAGCATAAAGTTGAAGGTAGAAGATCAACAGTCTTCAATGTTACTATTAAATAAGCAGCTATTTTATCTGCAGGGACAGGACTGAGGAGAAGTTAAAATTTGCTACTAGGAATTCTGGAGTACTGGTGTGGCACTATAGCATAAGCAGAGGTCAGCAATTCAAACCCAGCTGCTCCTTGAAAACATTATACAGGTGTCGTTATGAGTTGGGACCAACTCAGTGGCACTTAACCTTAGGAAGCCTGGCTCAATTCTGAGACAGTAAGAAAAATGACAGTGATCAGTCTGAGATAGCTTGAATATGTTCCGCGTAGGGGAAGGGAACTTTTTTTTTTTTTTAATCTTTAAAAAGGTCCCTGAAATTAGTTACAGGTGGATAGGGACTTGGGACAGAAGCTTGAATTCTGTGTCACTCCTAGGGTTCATGGGAATTGGTGGGAGATGAGCACTAACCCCATTTTCTTTTTTTTCTTTTTCCTTTGTTCCTTCTTCAGTTTGGCACATGGAAGTATGCACGGCAATATGGAGGTATCTATGCAGCCTGGGCATTTGTCATCTTGCTGGCTGTGCTGTGTTTGGGCCGGGCCCTCTATTGGGCCTGTATGAAGGTCAGCCACCCTGTCCAGAACTTCTCCTGAGCCCACCATGATCCACAGACTGTGTCTGGCCCCTCCCTGGTGGGGACAGTGACACTACAATGGGAGCTGGAGTAAAGAACTCCATGGGCTTCCATAAGGGAAGCCAAGCAGCTGCCTTCCTTTTCCCTGGGGAGAGGTAGGAAGGAACCAGGCCCTCACTTAGGTTTGGAGGGGTAGATAAGACCACTGATGGCCATCTGCTCTCCTCCAAGGGTTGCTGTGTTTGAGGGTGAAGTAGTTGCAATGTTGCCCCTAAATGTGGGCTCTAAAAAACGGTTGTCACCTTGTCCTTCCTATATGCTCCCCGAGAGCCATTCCTGTCCCTTATACATTCCAGGGCAGGGTTGGGGTGGGTAGCCCTGGGGGTTTCCCTCCCTCGTGTACACCATTAGGACCTTGCTGCTGCTATTGCACTTCACCAGGGGCTGGCTCTGGCCTCAGTCCCCTCCGTCTCCTCTCCCCCCATTCCATGTCCTGTGGGGGTGGGGTTAGCCGCTGCTCTGTACAGAACCACAGGAACGGATGTATATATAACTAACTATTTAATGTGGGGGTATGTTCCCCTAGTCCTGTATGTCCTTTAAGTCCTCCTTCCAACCTTATTGACCCCAGTTGCAGTATCCATCTGGGCTGGGCAGGGTTGCCGTCTTGGGGGAGGTTAGGGATTCAACTATGCTTGTAAATAAATGAGGTCATGACTCTACTCTTTTCATTTGTTAACTTGTATGTATTCCCACCAAGGCGTAGATAAAACACCAATACTGAAGCAAGGCTGTAACTATGGCTTTTATTTTCACATGGACAGTTCAAAGGAAGTCATCAGTAGTTTCTATTTAACATAAAAAAAAAAAAACCCACAAAAAAATATCTTGGGCTTAAAAGATAAAGATAGAAACCAAAATCTGTCACTAGGAGCCTGTTTGGAAGATTCATACAATTTTAGAAGGCATATACAATACAGATGCTTCAATACCATTTTTAAAGAAATGGTAGTTTGGGGGCTTAATTTCCAGACTCAAAGTGATTTTGGGGAGGTGTCACAGTGCTAAGAGTAGGGTGATAGGACAGTGGTCACTGCCTAAGGCCTTAGAACGGATCTTGCTGTCACACAATGCAGATAAGAGAGAGTGAGACAATAAAAAATAATCAAGGCGCCAGCCAACATTTTTGGATCGAGCATTCATCATGTAGGTCCAAAAGGTGTAGGCATAGGCTGTATCGGGGTAGAGGTGACGGAAGCTGTCAGCTAGTGGTACAACCTGCAGCAATTCCCCAAAGCCCTGGCGCTCTTGCGGAGTAAAGCCAGCATTCTTTTTGTTTCCCTTTGGGTTGCGAAGGTCAATCTCTTCATGAGCCACGTTGAGGTCTCCACATAACACAAGAGGTTTACGTGAAGCCAAGTCCTTCAAGAATTTGCGAAAAGCTTCATCCCAGCGCTGCCGGTACTCTAGTCGCACCAAACCCCGACCTGCATTAGGTACATAGGCTGTTACCAGCACAAACGCATCAAATTCAGCTACGATCACCCGGCCTTCCTGATCATGTTCCTCCTCGCCTACAGAAAAGATCAATCAACATAGAGAACATAAGAAAAAGACAAAGAAGGAATCAAGAGTTGGGGGCAGAAGTAGGTATTAGTCATTGGTTTGGAAGAGATCAGGGATCACTAGGGAGGGTCTCACCAATGCCGTAAGACACTTTGAGCGGACACTGGCGGGAGAGTAGGCCCACACCACTGTATCCCTCCTTGTCCAAAGGAGCTGACCAGTACTGATGAGATAGTCCAGGCAGGTTCTGAAGTTCAGCTGGTAGTTTTTTCTCTGAACATTTGGTCTCTTGGAGACACAGAATATCTGGGGCTTCTTCCTTAACCCACTATGAGTGAAGAGTAGAAAAAACCTCATCAATTCACACATTTATTCAACCTCTATATGGTTACCTCAGAAACCCTATACAGGGTCACTATGGGTCGGAACCAACTGGACGGCACTTAGTAACAATATATGGTTAACTAGGAATCCATAGGTGAGTCTTTGTGCCGAAGGAGCAATATTGCTAAGTGCCACTCAGTCGATTCCAACGCAGTGACCCTATATAGTGTTTCCAATGAGTGACTTGAACTGCCAATCTTGTAATCAGCAGTCCAGTGCTTAGCCTACAGGAATCCTAAAACAAAATATTATTTAAACAATTAGGTTTATTATGTAACTAAAGAAGAGTTTTGAGAAAAAAGGGTCTTCTGTGATACACCAAAGAATGGTTTGCTTGTCCTGCCCCCTCCCCGCCCCCCTCTCAGTAGTTATTGGCATAAACGATGTATTGGAGATACAATAAAGTCCAGTAAAGTGCCAAGAATAAGGCAATGGCATTGAAAGAATAACCATTTAGGAATCTTGGCGAAGTTCCATTGTATCTCTCCCACAAGATAATCACAGGCAAATGAAAAATAAAAACTGAGGGACTAAAGTGAGAGAAACTTTGCTTAACCAAAAGCTTAACCATAAGATCATTGAAGACTAGAAAACTTCTTTATCCCCTTGAATTTCACTCACATCTAACCCTTTCTTCTTAATCCAGGCTCGAAGCCCATCCACATTCCAGGAGCAGATCTTAAGTGTGGCCGATTTGCCACTAGGTGACGTTTTCTGATCTGGGGGATCCTCATACAGAACTGGCCCCTCTCCAGCTCCCTCTTTGTCGTTTTTCTTTGCTACTGCCTTACTCTTCTTAGTCGCTGGCTCTATAAAATGAATAAGACATAATGATAAAAGCAGGCGTTTCCCACCTTTGGCTTAGAGTTTATCATATGCCCACCAGCAACCTACAATTACTGCTCTTCATCACAAAATTTGCAAAACCGAGTAGGTCCGTCGGTAGTTCCCCTTAACATCATCGGGGCACTGGAAAACCCCACTGCAGTACCCAGGAGAGGGACTCATTTTATACTCCCCTACCGGTCTCGGGCTCTTCTCCATCTTCTGCCACAGCTTTCTTTTTTCCACGTTTCGGCATCCCTACAACGAATGCTCTTTGGCACCTGTTCCACGTTGCCCACCGAAGCAGGATTTTCAGTTACCTGTGAACGCAAGGAAACCGTGAAAACAGCAAAGTAAGGCTGGGGAGGAGCCGCTTCTAACGGTATCATATCTGAATCTTTTCCCTGATTCTGTATGCATCATAGGCCCTCCAGCCCCACACCCGCTGGACTAGATTGTTTTATAGTGCCTTGACCCCGCCTCACGTTATTAACCCTCTGGCCAATCGAAGGCCTTAACAGTGGACCTCCGACTCAGGCTGGTTGGTCAGACCTCCTGAAAAACTAGTCTACGGGCAGAAGACCAGCACCTTAATATGTGACCCGCTTAGATCCCAGCCAGGCTCCTTACCCGGGCACAAAGAACGGCGCACGCTGTTCCCCCACGTGGGTAACTAGCGTGATCACGTGATCCAGTTACGTGGCACGTGGCCAAGGACTATAGGTGATTGGTTTATCTGTCACCATGTGATGGAGGAAGCCCAGCCTTCCTTCTCGGCTCTATAGTTTCAGAAGACTCAAGGCCCCAGCCCACCATATTGGGGCTGTTTATCTTTCTGCCAGATAGCGTGAATTATTCCGCTACCCTGACCGAAGAGCCCAGTGCTGTGCAAGAAGGAGAAACATCGGTGGAGAAGGCTGAATTGGGCCACGGGAAAATATGTGGGACCAGAAAGGAATGTAAGGGGTAAATACCAGCTTAGTTTGCCTGGCAGTTTGGAGGACAGGTCGTTGCAGGGTCTTCATGGGTCGCCGTGACGACCAGGGCAGGAGCGGTGCGGACGTCGCGGGCGCTCCTCTTGGGGCATCTCTGGGGCGTGTACTTGGGCTTGCTGCCATCTACAGCCGCGGGCCCGCTGCTTCCTTTCCGGCTCGAAATCTGCGGGTCAACACGGACTGGTGAGGAGCTCCAAAAGTCACCAGGGCCCCTGCCGGCATTTTCTTTCGGTTATGCCTACGGTGCTGGGGTTCGAAGGCAGTGCCAACAAGATTGGCGTGGGAGTGGTGCGGGATGGCACGGTGTTGGCTAACCCGAGACGAACTTACGTCACTCCTCCGGGCACAGGTTAGTTAATAGTGGACTTGCAGTTTAAGGCGCGCTTCATTGCACAGCATCACCTTTTATCTTCCTAAATACCAGTAAAGTGGGTGCATTATTCCTGCTTATACAGCTTTGAACTTCAAGGTCGACGGTTCAAACTTACCAGCTGAGCCTTGGAAACCCTATACAGGGTCGCTATGGGTCGGAATCGACTCAACGGCGCCCAACAACAGCAACATACAGCTTTTACTCCAAGGCTCATTGATATTACTTGGCAGGTGTTAAGTCCAACAGACTGATGGGTAGTAGGAGAATCACAGTCACTTGAACTTGGATCTTCAGGATTCGCTCAACTTTTGTTGAGTGCTTTTACTTCCTAGGGTTTGACTGTGCTGGTGAACACAAGAATGGTTATCACGAGTCAGGTGTGGAATCAGGCATATAAACTTGGTTTATATAACTAGCATGGTAAACCATATGAGAGATGTAATAAAAATATTCTAGAACCAGAATAGAGCGGTAGATCAAAATGGGAAGACGTCACACCTTAGGTGTCAGAACTCACTGTGGTATTCATTGCCCAGATTCTTGGACTATTGTTTACTCTAAATATGGGGATAATAAGCTCTATATCATTACTTCTTGATAATTCAAGTAGCTGGTGCCTTACAGCTTTCAATAAATGTTATTTTTAAGCTATTTTATTCTCCAGTATGCCCCAATTGACATATATGTGCACACATTTAGCATTCCCTCTCCTAGGCACTTGGGCCCCAGCAATACAAAAATAAATAGCCAATGCTGTTTATTTGAGGTGGAGGTGGTTCCAACTCAAAGCTGTCCTGTATGTGATTTCCAAGGAATAGCTTGTGGGTTTAACTACCAATCCTTTAGTTAGTAGTCCAGTGCTTATCCTACAGTGCCATTGAAGTTTGGTGTTGTTAAGTGCCGTTGAGTTGATTACAATTCATAGCACTCCTGTATAGGGTTTCTAAGGCTTTTAACTTTGCAGAAAACCTCATCTTACCCCTATTGAGCGGCTTGTGGGCTCAAACTGTGGACCTTGTGGTTCGCGGTACAATGCCTATCATACGGAGCCAACGCACTCAACTTTTGAAGTCTTAATGGGAGAAACTAATAACTCTAGTGCTATATTTGTTAGGTGTTAAGTATAGTACATAAACATGCACAGTCATATGGGGTCATAGACAAAGATCACCGAAAACTATGGGGTAGGTATTACCTGAATTGAACCCTGAGACTGAGTTAGATATGAAGAAGGGCATTTCTGAGAGCTGAATAGCTCCCCAAAGTGACCCCCATTACCAGTGAGTCCATTCCAAGGCAAAACAACTCTATAGGACAGAGTAGAACTGTTCCATGGGCTTTCCAAGGCTGGAATCTTTACAAAAGCAGACTGCCACATCTTTCCCTCATGGAATGGCTGGTGAGTTCAAACATTGCTGTTGGCAGTCAAGTGCTTTAACCATTTCACCACTGGAGCTCGGAACAGACTATATATAAGGAGCCCTGGTGGCACTGTAGGATAAGCACTGGACTGCTACCCCTAAGGACAGCAGTTCAAAGCCACCAACCACTCTGAGGGAAAAAGATGAGGTTTTCTGCTCCTGTAAAGATATATAGCCGCAGAAACCCTGTGTAGAGGCTAGAAATTATAAAAGGGTGTATCTGAAAGCCTGGAAGACAGGATACTTCAGGAGAAAGGGACTCCCATAGTACTGAAATGCCTTCTTCGTCTACCTCCCATTGCATGAAAACCCCTCTGACCTGTGTCCATCTCCTAGGATTCCTCCCTGGTGATACTGCCCGACACCACCGAGCTGTTATTCTGGACCTGCTTCAGGAGGCACTAACAGAGGCTGGATTAACCTCTCAGGATATCGATTGTGTTGCTTACACCAAAGGTATGGCTACAAGTATGGTCAACAATGGAAGGATATACCTAGAGTCTATCTCAGTCAAAACAATCTGACCTTCACTTTTGCTGCCACCACCATGCCTACCCCCATCTCTCATATCCCTGCTCTCCCCATTTGAATTTCTCCCAATCTCTGTTCTCCTAGGTCCTGGCATGGGTGCCCCACTGGTTTCTGTGGCTGTTGTTGCTCGTACGGTAGCCCAGCTGTGGAATAAGCCATTGCTAGGTGTGAACCACTGTATAGGCCACATTGAGATGGGTCGTCTCATCACTGGAGCCACCAGCCCAACTGTGCTCTATGTCAGTGGAGGAAATACTCAGGTATACAGAGTACTCCGTCCATACCTTTTTAATTTCCAAGGTGCCATACCAGCAACTTATGTGTTCTGCATGGGTGGCGGGAACTGCAAGAATAAAACACCACATCTGAACCTAAAGTATTATACATCAAAAAACCCACAGCAGAGTTTGCAACATTGTAGTCTAGGGCAGGACAATCAGAGTATTTGGTGCTTTTATATAAAGATTAGGAATGTCTAGTTTAGGAAATGAAAGGTTGATAAGGATTTCTGCCTTCAAAATAATGGAAGGAGTTTTTTATACTTTAAAGCTTCCCTCCTCCCCCCACTATAAATCTTAGCAATTAAGTCTTAAGGACACTACCTGATTTTTATTTTTATTTTTGGTGGTAAGTATATAGAATTTGTTATTCCAAGAGCATGGAAATAGAGCAACTTTTAGAAAAAAACACACTATAAATGGTAAAATTCATTGGAGAAATTACAGTTGTGTGGGATATCTTACAAGACCTTTAGAGGTCAGAATTAGAACTTCAGTCTTCCTTTCTTATGGCGTTCTTGTCGGAAAGTTCAGCATTTGTCTCAGTTACGTTCTAAAACTTTGTGTTGTGAAAGAATTATTAAGGATGAGGGACACATACCCACTCATGGAAATGATGAGGGAACTTCAGGCAGTAGAGGGCAAGGAGCTGTTTGGAGCTAAGAGGTTAGAGGTTTGGTGTGCAGAAAGTATTAGAGGAGGTGACTGGAGGTATTCTGATGATGATAGGAGATACAGTTTTCACATCTTCCCTTATGAAGTCTGTCTAGTCATTTTAAAGAAAAGAAAAAAGATGAGGAGTGGGTAATAGAAGTAGAAAGGCAGGCTTTCCCTCCCTTTTGTTATTAGCCTTTTGGCACCTGTATTCCACTGAAGATACAGTAAAGAGCTACATCAAAAAGGAAGGAAATCCCTAGCAACTCGGGCAAGGGCCAGGGACTTCTTATGGTCCCTAGGAAGCCCTCACTGTGGGAGGTGTGGAGCACCAGTATCACTGGGTGATAAATAGTCTCTGTGGTAGAAGTTGATCACATATGAAGAATGGGCATGTTGTCAGTGCTGAGTTGACTGGGCCATTAGTCTGGCCCAGTATAGGATTTTGAGTTTTTCAGCTTTTCCTCTTCCCTTTTTCCCAAATACCACTACTAGTATAATCTAGAAGGATTCACTCTTGTTTTCTGCCTCTAAGCTATAAAACCTGTTTTCCTTGTCCACATTTTAAAACTGCTTTTAAGGGACATGTCAGGAGCTTCCAAACTAGAAAAATGCACATAAATAAGCTTTAAAAGGCTCATGGGAAAATTCCACTATCTTTTCATGCCATTTGTCCATGAACTCTTTTGAAACTCATAAAATGACAGTTTGCTTCTGCCCTAACCTAGAATATCTTATGTGATCTAAATAGATAACTTAGAATGGTGGTGCTGGTGTGCTGTTGAGGCAGGTCTGATTCAGTCACCCTTTATAGGGCTTCTGAGGCTATAAATCTTTACAGGAGCAGAAAACCTCGATTTTTCTCCAGCTGAGCCAGCTGGTGGATTCAAACTGCTGACCTTGCGATTAGCAGCCAAACACATAACCCACTACACCACCAGGGCTCCTTCTAACCTCGAATATCTTATGTAAATTAGGAATCTGCTCTGGGAATGCTTGGGGTA